TGTTGATGCACATAATGGTTGGTGTATATGTATCACATATCATTTGTCATTTGATCCATTTTTTGTCAATGCTTAATCACATGTTCTAAATTTTTTTTTTTTATATTCTACAATGAGAAGCGTATAGGAGGGGGGGAAATGGAAGTTAAACCCCCAGCCAAAACATACTTTTTGCATAAAATGTGCCAGGTCCACTGCAAATGGGTTCACATATAGAGGGGCTGGAAAGAGTTATTGTGTAGACCGAATACATAAGACCGATAAATCCTTGTACTTGTTCAGAGCATGCAACAGTTGATTGTACAGATTCCAGTACACTTCCCTCTAATATAGTTTCCAACTGATTATTGATCAGGATCACTTTGAAAGTGTTGCATGGAGGGGGGGAATGTTTATAGACTAGTTGAAGTTCTAATCAAAGCTAAACAATCATTGTTGATCTAGTACAAGGTGTCTCAATAAACATGGGATTTGAGTGACAATTTAGAGATCGTCTTTGTAAATAATTTTTGATCTAGTATGGTTATGTTATAGCTTTAAAAAAAGCTAAAATCCGTGGACTATTTCGTATGCTAGAGTTAAGTGGATATTTTTTATTGAATTTTACTGAAAACAAGAAATTTTTTTCAGATCTAGATATTTATTTATGTATCGAGGTTATTATAGTTTACAAGATTGTTAATATGGATTTAACACAAAACTTTTTTGCGATATTATCGTGTACATACAAATACAAATTGATAAGGTCAAAATCTAAAATTTTACAGATACATTTTTTTCGTTTTTTCAAGTCTGGATTGCTGGTAAATTTATATTCAAGTATTGAGAGAGCAGCAGTACAAGAGGAAAAACTACATTATATATTAGAGGATAGCATACTTTTGTGAAATAAGACTGGGAGATATTAAAAACACAGTGTGTGTTATCTCTTATTGGAAAATGCTACAATTAACATCCTGGATGCTTTCACATCAACATACACGGGAGCGAGTTTCTATTTTTATATTAAAGAAAATTATTGTTATCTTCATAACGAGGAACATTGACCGTTCCTCGTTAATATTGAGGCTACGTAGTTTTGGATAAAAGAAAAGATTATTATATTTGAGAAGTATTTTTCTATCAGGGAAGATTGATTTTAGCATCATAACAAGAAACCTAGACCGTTCCTCGTTAAAAATGAGGCTACAAAATCTAGGTTTAATAAAAGGGCATAATGATTTAGAGATATGAAAAATAATCTGTGTTATCTCTTGTTATAAAATGCCACAAATACATAAATATGCTGGGGAGCGAGTTTTCTTTTTTTATAATATAGAAAATTGAAGTTAGCTTCATGACGAGATACATTGACCGTTCTTTGCTAATATTGAGGCTACATAATTTTGTATAAAATAAAGAGCAGCATAATTGACATCTTTAATGACAAGGAACATTGACGGCTCCTTGTTAATATCGAGGCTTTATAAACTAGGATAGTGGAAAGAGACAAGATTTCAGTCTCTTCTTGTTCATCGTATCTTGTGAGATCATGGTTCCTCTGCTTGTTGCAGTGAAATTGTCTCCGTTAACCGCGAAATCGGAAGGCGTGTCAGTTCTGCTCGTACTGAATTAATAAAACGACCTATTAGTTTATTTAAAATCTTCGGTAGTTCTTACATTGAACTCAAAGGATGTCAATTTTTAAAACATAGAATCTTTACTTAGAGACGTATTGAGAAAAGTATTTATATAAAGGTGTTTTTAAAAAAAGTTCACATTGGATAAATAGGAACTTTGAAAAAACATAGCGGACTTAATTTTGCGGAATTCCTTTTATATTTTGGAGTAAATGAAGCTCGACTCCTGAATTAGAGAATTAGACTTTAAAAAAATCGTTTAAGGGAATAATACAAATTTTTATAGTTGGAAAAATTTGACAAAAAATAACCAATGGCGTTTGAAAATTTTATCGTGGTTATAATTTAGACAATATGTACCACCCTTCGCTAAAAAGTATACTGTACGGTCTTTAATTTTTGTTTAGGTTAAACCTTTGTAGTCCTATGTGATCCGTGTTCACAACATTCACCCTCTATATAAATTAAATATAGTATTCGACAAATTAGAGTAAGTTCCGCCAAGCTCAGTAAGATTCCGTGAAAATCTATTTTTACCGTTATGATTTAGCCGTAGAGTGGGTTCCTCTCCGATATCATTCCGGCTTTCCGCCAGTGTTCCGGGATCAGTTTATACTAAATAAAATAAAAAACACTAATTAAAACCATGTTTTTTTTAGGAAAACAGGAAAATTAAAAAGGTTCTATGTTTGGCAATCTTGCCAAAATTTTACAGACACGTCATAAAAACACAACTCAGAGTCTTAGACTTTAATTATTTACATAAAATGTACTCAAGCGGACGCAATTTTGTTAAGACTTTGAAATTTGATATTTCAATACTATTTCTTAACAAAGACAATCTCAAAGCCGTTTTTTAATTCTCATGTTCCTTGTGACACCATTTTCTAGGTTTTTGTGACACCATGTGCTAGGTATTTGTAACACCATGTGCTAGGTATTTGTGACACCATGTGCTAGGTATTTTTGACACCATGTGCTAGGTATTTGTGACAATATGTGGAAGGTTTTTGTGACACCATGTGCTAGGTATTTGTGACACCATGTGCTAGGTATTTGTGACACCATGTGCTCAGGTATTTGTGACACCATGTGCTAGGTATTTGTGACAATATGTGCAAGTTATTTGTGACACCATGTGCTAGATATTTGTGACCCCATGTGCTCGGTATTTGTGACAATATGTGCAAGGTATTTGTGACACCATGTGCAAGGTATTTGTAACACCATGGGCTAGGTATTTGTGACACCATGTGCTAGGTATTTGTGACACCGAGTGCTAGGTATTTTTGACACCATGTGCTAGGTATTTGTGACACCATGTGCTAGGTATTTGTGACCCCATGTGCCAGGTATTTGTGACACCATGTGCTAGGTATTTGTGACACCATGTGCTAGGTATTTGTGACCCCATGTGCTAGGTATTTGTGACACCATGTGCTAGGTATTTGTGACACCATGTGCCAGGTATTTATGAAACTATTTGCTAGGTATTTGTGACACCATGTGAGGTTTGTGACACCATGTGCTAGGTATTTGTGACCCCATGTGCTAGGTATTTGTGACACCATGTGCTAGGTATTTGTGACACCATGTGCTAGGTATTTGTGACCCCATATGCTCGGTGTTTGTGACAATATGTGCAAGGTATTTGTGACACCGAGTGCTAGGTATTTTTGACACCGTGTGCTAGGTATTTTACTCCTCCAATCAAAGCAGAAGAACCAAAGTTACAATTTATTTTGGTAGAGAAATCACCGCATCTTTCTCTTTTATATCGTTCAACTTGATTACTTCTTTTCGTCTAGTTTCACCGAATTAATTTAACCCTATTTAAGGCCCGGGAGCTCTTTACTGAATATCTAGTTGAGCTGGTTAATTCCTAGGCTCAGCTGGATATAAAACAAAAAATGTCCAGCTATGTCTGAATATTTCACTTTGTTTTTTTCCTTTCTGTCGGCAATATTATTTATTGAGCTGTCTATCCTAGAATAACTTAATCAAATCATGAAATATAATTAAGAAATGAACATGTGTACTATAGAAAAGAGAAAAAGAGAAAAATATCCATGTAATAAAACAAGACATTTGTATATACAAATGTTGCTATAGCCGGCCAAACGGCTGAATCGATTGGGTTGAAATTTTTTGGACATTCAGGGTTGGCCGGGGTGTTTTAGGCTAAAAAAAATTTTAATTTTTTTTTTAATTTTTGTTTTCCACGGGCAACGCCGGGCCCTTCAGCTAGTATCTATAAATTGTGTGAATACGGTGGTAGGCGATTATATCAATACAATGAAGAAAATTTTTTTAACAGCTTGATAAGAATTTAAATTGAAATCGAAAGTCATCTTAATTAATTCTATTGATAAAATCGCGTATACCGGTTTTCGGTTGGATGGCTTGTTTGTCAGATATGAAACACCGATAGGGCCCAAACTTGTGGGACCTAATATGGTTCTTGGGAAATATTAAACAAATTTAATATTGTTGGATTTAAAAAGGGAATTACATAGATATTTCTGATGACTAAGTAATGACTAATGGTATAGACTTGTTAAACTATGGAAAATAAAGACGACTGATAGACTCTAGAACTATAAAGTTAATAGTCCACGGAAACACAGCAATTGTGCAGTATACACAGACCCATCTCACAATTTCTAAATCGTTTGTTGAAACGAATGTGAAAAAAGCTAGTTTTTTACTTAACAAGCTATTTTTTCAAAAGACCTTTTAAAAATAAGAAGGTTTTTTTATGTCGAACGTTTTTTTTTTAGACAAACTTTTGAAAAACAATTCTTATTTTTCTAAAAAGAAACAATTTTTTACTGAACGAGCCAACAAAGGAATTGAGTTTTTGCCACAAACGCATTTTCTCTAAACCTTACTTCTTTGCAACCTGATGGTATAAACCATTGATATTTCAAACTTAGACAATTTGATGTAACAGAAATCATAGTTTGAAATATCAAACGTTTACGACATCGGGTTGCAAATATAGAGGGGTTAGAAAGTCAGAGTTTGTGGCAAAAACTCAGTTCCTTTATTGAAGTAATGATTTTACTGATATCACTTTGTATAAATAAACTGATTTCTGATTCTTATTTACTTTTTTCATAAAGGAATTGAGTCTTTGACACAAACTCTGGTTTTCTAATTTCTTTATTTTTGGAAACCAATGTTGTAGACCTTAGATATTTCAAACTATACATTCTGTTACATCAAATTATCCTAGTTTGAAATATCAAAAGTCTACAACATCATGTTCCATAGATTTAGCGATTAGAAAATTTGAGTTTGTGGCAAAGACTCAATTTCTTTCTTGAATAACAAAAAAAATATTATTAAGAGAAGGAACCTGGTTTTCCTGTTTTTCAGAAGCTGATATGTTTGGACTTAACGAGACAGACAGCATCAGTACAATACAGCTGGTTGAAACTAAGTAAGTATAAAACTCTCAATCTAGAATATAAAACAGAATTCATGAAATTATATAAATGATACTTTTGGCCATTTGTAGTTCATATATTTGAGATTTTAAGGGGATGAAAAAAATGAAAAATAAATTAAAAAAATGAAAAATATATCTATAAAATGTATAAAAATATATAACTTAGATTCGATCTTAACTTTAACTTATTATGCAAAATAATAACAGAAAGTATAAGTATATGAGACAAAAGGAATTGAGTCTTTGCCATAAACTCAAATTTTCTAATCCCGACATCATTGCAACCTGTACTGGAAAATACTCAATTCCTTTGATAAGTAGCGAAACACTGCGAACCCGACTAGATAAGCCCACCTTGGAATATTTTAAAAAACTCTGTCTAGAAATAAAATAAAGGATACTTAGTATTTCATTCTACCTGCTGTAAATCATTTAGAACTCAAATAATTTTATCATTTTATACTGTAATCAGTTTGATAACTTGAAATCACTCAAAGAGTCAAAGATTACTTTCAATATTCAATTTAAAATTGTTGATCAAATCTTTTAAGAAGATTATTTAATCTTTCCCAGCAAATATACAACGTAAAACATATATCTGATTACTATCATATATATCCTGCCTTTTTATTCTTCAAATCAATCAATTATATCATATATTTGGAAAGATAGAGATAGATAGATAACGTTTATTGCTAAAATACATGTATCTGTGTACAGAACGAGTTTACAATTACAAATTGATGATTATATTAACAGTACAAATATAAAGCAATTAGGTGGAAAACAGCTCTTGGCTGTTTTAATTATTTTTTCCACCTAATTTCAATAATGATAACAACACATTTCAATTAAATAGATTTAAGGAGAACTATTAGAGATCAGGGTGCGATTTTATCATATGCAAAATAATTTATACATTGATTAGAATAACTAGACTTTAAAGTAATTTTCTGACATGTACACAACAAATATCAAAGCATATTAAAACATATCTAATTTGTTTTACATGAATAGCAATTCGGTTTATATCACATTGTAATGTAATTTTCAAAAAGAGAATTTAGTAGTCTATTTTAAAATATACTTAGAGAGTTGCTTCTTTACGTACTGCATTTATGATAAGTCACAACAGTTATTATACTAAAACATTAGTACATTAAATATATGTAAAACTACTGCAGCAGAGATAGCTTCGAGAGCTGTTTTTACAATGTTCTCTTTTGATCCTTAGTGATGAATATTGTTTTAAAATCTGTTAGAGATGGCAGCAAGCTTTGCATGGAGTTTTCTATATAACAATCAAGCCGCTCAACTGAGAATTTATTAAACCGGGCAAAGAACATTTTATGTATATATAAATGTTAAATTTCTGCATTCTCATAACACAACCACCCCCCCCCCCTAACTCCCTCCCCCAGCAGAATAAGAATGAATTCCAATTATCTCATTTTTAAGCAAATTAGAATATTAAATTAGTCTTCATGTACCAAATTCTTCACATTTAATTATCAAATTCAACCATGGTAAGCTAAATCTTTTAACAAGAATAGTATAACAAAATCTGAAGTTAATCCTTTCCCCTTGCAGGAACGAAGACGACTTGAAATTAAAACCTAAGCAGCGTTCATTCGACATATTTATTTACACATCTAGTCTAAAAAAAATAATTTCTACAAAAGTCGACTTTAAATTACACATTGTCCAGTTGACTACCGTAGTTAGCATCAATACAAAATCTTTTACTTAAAAGGTGATATGACCTTTATATTTCAATACAGTATCAAGAATTTTCCGGGATTTAATTCTCCTACAATTGCAATTTCAAAGTTCCAGATTTCTATGAGTTGATAAATTATTTTGTAAAATATTTCACGAGCTCCCCATGCAATATTGGAAAATTATATACAGGGTGTCCCAAAAAACATGGGAATTCAGTGACGAATTCGATATCGTCTTTGTTATGAATTAGCATTGTAATACCTAATTTCAAAAGCCATAATATTATCATGTCTGCTAGAGTTTATTTAATGAAAAGGGTAAAAGACTGTAAAGATGTGTCTATAATGTCTCCGCAAGATGAACAGTGAATACGGACAAGTTTACTCTGTTTGCATACTGTAATTTTCTTGTTTTACTAAGTACAACCGTATGCAGTCAAAATATAAACAAACAAAATGTAAACATAGCAGACGAAACTCTTACAGATTACAGCTTTCTCAGTAGGTATCACTATACTAAATCAAAGAATTATTTGAAAAGACGATATCGAATTCGTCACTGAATTCCCATGTTTTTTGGGACACCCTGTACATTCCTCAGCTAAATCCTTTTAAAATCTAAGTACTTGCAGCAGAACCAATGAATATGTTTATGTATGACTTTGAAGTTTTAGTGGGGTGGGGTGGAGAGTGTGTGACACCAATTCTCGTTAAATTAGTTAAGCACACATGTCCACAGCCAGTAACTGGATTGGTGTCCAGACTGGTATTCACGGGTACGATTCCTGTACTCCACACAAACCTGTGGTTTCAAATACATCTGAAGAGTGAAGCCGACATCTGGTTAAGCATTTATGACGACCTGACGGATGTAGGAGGACAGAGGGGCGGCTGTCAACAACTCTCGCAGCGAAAGGGTGCGTCCTTTCTGCTCAACAAGAAAGAAGCTTTATATGGATTGATCCAAGTGAATGATGATGAAGAGAGGAATGGTGGACAAGCAGGGAGAGTCCATGGTTGCTAGCTATAGGTACCTGGGGGCTTACAAACGATAGGGAGCATGTAGTGTGATGTGTTCCTCTCTGTATGTCACCCAGAGCCCCAGGCCTCATTCCAGTATTTCAGAAAAATTCCTACACTCTATTTTTCTCAGTCCTAAGAAGCCCATAGGCCCGATCGATGTCCAAGGGACAAAAAATCTCTTTAAAAAAAGATTTTGATGTGTAAAAAATATATATTTAATTAAAAATATGTCTCCTCCTTGCTCAGCCTACCCTTGTCGTTCGTGATAGTGATCTTACTCTGCTTCCCAGTCGAATTTGTCGCATGCAGAAACGTTTAGGATGCCGTTCGCGTCGATGTCAAAGGTGACTTTAATCTGAGGGGCTCCCCTGGGCGCGGGGGGGTTACTGTATTCGAATATCTGTAAACATATTCTCCAGTATATAAGACATGGTAAAATTACCGCATTTTGAACCAGAAATAAAAAAACACAATTTGGTTTTTTCGTCAGAAGAATTCTTCAGTTTTAGAACCTTGTGTTAGCCCATGGCCATATCTTATCTTTACATGCTCCGCAGTTATTTTGTTAAAATTATATCTCTCCATTTCTTGAGTTAGCAAAGATTTCCTATCTTTCCGTATTTTTTCGCAAAATTTTCGTGTTTTTCCCATAATTTCCGTTTTTCAAAATTTTCTCGTTATTTTTTGCATTTTCTATTTCGCGAAAATTAAAGCAAAATTTCACGAAAAAAAGAAAACTTTCGCATTTTTTGCGAGCAAAAAAAATGCGAAAAATGCGAAATTTTCGCGAAACGATTTTTCCTTTTCGCTGCAATCCATGGTCCAAAGTTTTTATGCTGTGTTGGTCTACTAACATAATAAGAAACTATTGGATTAGAGCTTGAGACAGGTTTGATTAAAATCAAGAAAGTTGGACAAAAACTGAGCTAACTTTAAAACATGCTGCAACTCCTATATTGTAAACAATATTGCAGTGAAGAGATTCAACAAAATAGCTAGATATTAAAACATGTTGCAACTCCTATATTGTAAACATTAAACAATATTGCAGTGTAGAGATTCAACAAAAAAGCTAAATTTAAAATTCGGTGATGGTGATGGACCAAACCTATGTAGATGTTAGTTCCACATTTATTGAAAATATATTTAAATATTAAAGCATGCTGCAACTCCTATATTGTAAACAATATTGCAGTATAGAGATTTCACAAAATAGCTAGATATTGAAACATGCTGCAACTCCTATATTGTAATCAATATTGTTAAGATGGTTCTATCAAATGGAAAACCTCAAAATTTCAAACACTTTTTATTTATCAGACAATAAAGTCCTTTGTTTGTTTTCATTTTAGAGAATAAAGAAATACTCAAGTATTCAAAATTTATGTTTTTATAAAACGCGTAGCAATATAGTCTTTAAAAATTGTTTTTAGTCTTGAGAACACTTAAAATTTTTATTCTGGAAAAATAACAATCTATAAATGGAAAAAATATATTTTCCATTTCAAAAACAATGATTTAACATGGTGCCCTAATCAACACAGGCAATAAGTGATGTTGTTCATTAATTTATTAATTTATTGCAGTTAACATCGAAACATGTTTGTATCTTCGAAATTAAAGTAACTTAAAGGAGTTGAGTCTTTGTCACTAAATCAAATTTTCTATCCCTACATTTTGCAACCTGATGGTTCAAACCTTTGATATTTCAAACTTAGATTATTTGATCCTACATATTTTACAGTTTGAAATAGCTAAGGTCTACGACATATATATACGTAAAGGGGTAAGAAAAATATGGCAAACTAGAGAAACCTTAGCCAGGAATGTATATGGAGGGTATACCCCTGCACACAAATGGATAAGAAAAAAACTACAATCAACATTGAAGGCCTGCATTCATCTTTTAACGCTACATTAACCTGGAGAATGGAGGTTTTTTCCCTAGCTGGATCCAGATTTTGCTACTGGCAGCTTTGAATATACTCCTTATTAACAAGCCTGGTTAGCTGTTATTAAGTATCTGAAACTGTCGGAGACGATAATTCTTTTAAATCGAATTTGGTTCTATGTGGTGATTTAATTTTTTATCCAAACAGTAAGAATACATTGATAAATATTAACAATCTTATTTTATAGAATAAATTCCGTAGATTTTCAACATAAGACCAAAATAGAATTTTCTTAAAGGCGATTTCTTTAAAATTTTGATAATCTATAAAATTTCCCTTGGGACATGTGAAGTCCTACACAAAATTTGGGCCCGATCGGTCTAGCCGTTTTGAAGTTATATTGGATACAAACGGACAGACACCCCTGCAGACAAGCAAAGAATATTAATAGTACGCAATAATTTCATGTGAATATGCTCTCTTTATAAACATTGTAAAACAAGAAAAAAAAATTTTTGCGGATTTTATGAATAAGAATTCGTGGATTTTCAAACTTTTTCTTAAAAATCTAATTTTTCTAAATGCAAATTTTTGAAAATTCGATCATCCATAAACCTTCCCTGTGGTCCAACACAAAATTTGGGCCTGATCGGTTTAACCCTTTTGACGTTTATTGGATACAAACAGACTGACAATCAAAATATATAATTAAATATAGATGTGCATATTTATAAAATATTATTAAATTGAAATATTTTGAGTTTCTAAAGCTTATTGAAAGGATTTAGCTGAGGAACGCATATATTCTCCAATATTGCATGGATCTCCGCTCCTGAAATATTCGACAAAATAATTCTATAAATTCATGAAAATCTGGAATCTTGAAATATTAATGTTGGCAGAAAAATTCAAAAGATTATTGCGTTTTAGTAGGACTGGGCAGTGGGCATTGGCCAATGTTTCCTTAGGTAAATGGCGGGTGTTTGAAAATTCCGTTATAACTACTTTTAATACTTTTATTTTGGTTCGCAGTGTTATCAAGTTTTTGGACAGAAATTTTATTTTTAGCGAGAAGGTTTAACTTGGATTTAATTTTGTTCCGAGCTTTAGCGTGTACAGTACCTTAAAGAAGAAATTGAGCTTACAAAACGTCAGGCTTTACTATTGAAATATCACAGTGTTTAAACGTATCTTTAATCTAATATAAACCTATATATTTAATGCAAAATTTAAGAGTTTTTCCAAATGCTGCATTCTACTCCACAAAGTTGTATCAGAGTATTGAAAACCATTAGTTTGAACATAGAGAAATATATAGAATGAATCTAAAAGCATGTGTTCTTTGCATCAAAGAAAATGGTTTTTCAATGTTATATTCGAGAATACAAATTCACTGAAATATTCATTCATTAAAGAGACAGTGGCGCATTTTCAAATCACTCTTAATTTTTAAAGTGGCATACACGAGCACGCTGATTTACTAGTTCAGTCTTTGTATCAGCAATTTTGATCCATTTCCTAATATTTTATATCAGTTTCAGCTTTTTACAAAACTTTTAAATTGACCGGTTTCCTCAAATTTTAATTTGTTTCAGCTTTAAAGAAAAACTTTAAAAATCTTTATTAATTGGTTTTATCACAAATTTGGATCAGTTTCCACTTTTTACAAGAACTTTAGCTCTTATTTGTTGATCTGTTTCCTCTTATTTTTGATGAGTTTTTGCAAAATTTTGCATTAATTTTTTTTTTAATTTTTTAATTTTTTCGAAAAAATGCAAAAAATTGGCGAAATACGAAAGAAATTTTCCCATTAAAAAAAATTATTTTGTTAGCCTATGTTATTTCTGTCTTACACAATTCTAGTTTTTCTCTGCAATTCGTATATTTTTCATTAAACAAACGAAATATGAAAAATACTCATATTTTTGCGAATGAGAAAACAGAGTAAAAAAATGCACCAAAAAGTCTTAAATAATTGCATAGAAGACCATGAAAGGAAAGGAAGCCAGATTTTTTGTATATTTACTGCTAAAGTTAAAAACAAAAATAAATGGGACCAATAAAGGGTTTAGTAAAATAAAAAAGAAAAAAAGAGAATAGTTTTTCTTTGAAACATTAAGAAGGGGAAACGGACCAAAAATTTGAGAATTTTTGTAAAAAGCGGAATTGGATCAAAAATATCAGGCAACGAACCAAAAAACCGATCAAATTTGAGGAAACCGATCAAAAAATTGTGAATTTAAAGTTTTTGTAAAATGCAGAAACAGATAAAAAATATGAGAAAACGGACCAAAACAAAAAGGAAATCAACTATAAATATTGGGAAACGGATACAAAATATTCGAAAATCCCTCAGTATTTCTAAACTTTTGAGTGATTTCCTCGAATTTCTAAAAAAACCGGAAATTCCTTAAAAGACATTTTTGATCCCTTTCAATGTTGAGGTGTTTCCGTCTTGATCGGTTTCAATGTTGAGGTGTTTCCGTCTTGTTCGGTTTCAATGTTGAGGTGTTTCCGTCTTGATCGGCTTCAATGTCACCCATTTATATAACAGAGGAGATGGGAAGGGGGGGGCGGGTTCAGGGTATGAAGACTATTCAAATAGTGTTTACAGTAAATGGTTAAACAGAGTAAATAAATAGTTTAAGAGCAACATAACATACAGGTAAAAAACAATACTATTTATGTAAAAAAACATTTTATAGTTTTTGAATATTTTAGCCGCCATTTTTATCGGTCATCCAAAGTTGGGAACATTTGTATTGTGGATTCGATATCATCCCATTCCATAAACAAACAGCCAATCAGAAGCCAACACATTTTGCGGTTTACCAACGGCCACTGAGAAAATAGAGAAAGTAGGGATATCTATCGCAGATTTTCTTTAAAATGTAAAAAGTGCCCAGTATCGAAATCTAGCGATCTGACTTGAAACATTTTTTTGTAGAAATAATTCGGACTGCGGCAGTATGAGCGAAGATGAAGCAAAACTAGCAATATCCTGTTCCTATTGGTTGGAAGGGGTTCTACTGGTAAATATATATCATGGGTAGACAAACTTAAGATTTGTTTATAGGATTCTAATTATATCATAGTAGAACATTTGATAGAATACAGGGAATAATTAACTAAAACCATGCGACAGTAGTCATACAAAGCTCATTGATCTTTTCAAATTTTGGCTTGATAAAATAATCATGATCGATTTTTCACCTTTTTTAGAAATCAGCAAACCAACTAACAAAGATTTTTATTTATTTTTTTGTACTACATTTTTGAATTTTTAATTTTTATAAAATAAAATGTTTCTTGATCTCAGTTTAACAAACATTTTCCATGAAAATGTAATTTAAAATGATTTTTTTCAAACATTAATTCGATTTTTGATTGCATTGCGTTTTTAAGGTCCTTATAAACAAACCTCCATGGTGGGGACATAGAATCAGCCTGCTCATCCTTTTCTGTAGCCCTTTACATGTACATTTTAGCACTGAAAAGCACTTGTTGTTAGCTTTGGTTTTTAAGAAGTAATTGACAAGATTCTTATCGATTGTTGCTAGTGAGCTTGCAGCCTTTAAATCACAGTGGGGAGTAGACCTTATCCAATATTGATGATGCCTAATGGATAAAGCATTCCAGTTTTTGCAACAGACTCAAATTTTTTAATCCTTGCAACCTGATATTTCAAAACCAGATTATTTGATCTTTTATATTTAATCATAGTTTGAAACATCTAAGCTGTATACGACAACTGGTTTCAAAGGCATAGGAATGAGAAAATCAGATTTTGCGACAAAGACTCAATTCCTTTACTTTCATTTACTTCTCTGATCTAAAGAGTGCCCCAATAAACATGGAAATTAAGTGACAACGTCTTCTAAGTTGTCTTGTTTTCGCGTGGCATTATTAGGTGAACACAGTTTTTGTAGTATTCCAGTTAAATCATTTGATACTGAAAACTGCTAGTCTTGGGAATTCCAAAATGTGGTTTACCATATCTTTTCCTTCAAAATTGATGGATTAGTAAAGAGATCTGTCCTGAGCTGAAAACTTAAGAATGGTGTGTAATGAGATTAATGCTTGATCCTCTCTCCTTCTTAATATCAAGACTAAATTAATATTGTACTTGTATCCCTGAAAAGTGTATAAAATTCAACCAATCAGAGTCGCATATAAGTAGCCAATAAATTTGAAATTTTGCGTGCCATTTAAGATTAATATACAGAAACGGGAGGGACTCTCTAAATTAAAAAAAAAACCGGTTTTTTTATTTTTCTCTACTGTATCCAAGAAAATATGGTTAAAGAAGAAAATCAAAAGTGTTTCCATTGGATACTCAGATTAAGTAATTGGGATTAAGGATATCTCATTCTAAAGTTTTCAGCTCTGATTCTAATTTATGAAATTACAACGAAATCTTTCAAATGTTTAATATCAACGTCATATTTAAAGACAAAACACAGAAGGTATTCCACAATTTTGAAAGCTTAAATGACTAAAATCTTTATTTTGATACACTCCGTCATTTACAAACTCTCGGAAATCGAAGACGATTTTCAAGTCGTCTCTTAATTCCTATGTTTGTTCGTACACCCTGTATATTTGTTTAGACTGTAGTTGGGTGTATTGGCATCTTGGGTAATCTTGCGAATATAATAATTCTCAACAGTAAATCCGTTTCAAACTTCTTTAATACACTTCTCAGGAACATATTAGAATAGTATATCATTCAAGTTTAGGAAATATTTTCTTACAACAATATTCTCCATAAAGCGGAATTTATTAACAATTAAAAAAGACTTGAAAGTAGTTTTTGACCTACTTTAAGAATATTTTTCATAGTCTTGCTATTTCCAAAATGCGGACTGCCATTTGTTGCATTCAAAATTGCCAGAGATATTTTGATTTATTGAATAAACCCAAATTGTCGGATTCTGGACAAGATCATTCATATCTCCGTATTGAAATATAAAAAAGCAGACCACGTTTTTGATATGGCAGGACTAGGGTTTTTTATTTTTGTTAAATGAAGAATATTTATAAAATTAGGTTGCCTAATCAATGCTGCGAACTATTTCAAAGATCAAGGACGACTTTCAAGTCTTTCCAAATTGTTTCAAAATCGCTTTAAGAAGAATAGCATTATACAAACTGTGCAGAAAAAATATAACAAAAATTAGCATTATATAATTAATTTAATACACAATAAAAGTACAAAAATGAAAAAAGAAATTTGAAAAATTTTTAAATTAGAAACAAAAGAATGATTTAAAAAAATGATATTTCATATATCTATGTACAGTTATAAAATTTAAAATAATGTTATTAAATTTTCAAAGGTCAGTACTGCCAATTAACACAATCAATAAGCTGTATCATGTAGATAAACTAATTACACTCTGCAGCCTCACACAAACTAATTTACTTTCATCTCTCTGAAAATGATTTAGAAAAAAAAAAAAAAAAATGAAAATGTTAAAGCTATTTTCTGCAACGGTTAATGACTTGTTTACCAATCAAAAAATATTTCTGAAGAAAAAATTAATTTTTGATGGTGCCCTAAATTATTTAAGTGTTGTTCCTTTGCTTAATTATTTATATATAAATTGAGAGCTGACACTGTACTAGGAGTATTTTTTTCTGCAAACTAAGCTAGTGGGTAAAATAGGCCTTTGAGGCTATAATAGGCCAGGTACTGTAAAAAGTCTGGGCGCCCCATTAAATTTGAAAACAAGTTGGTCACGGATGGCAGAGGCCGATACTGGCCGCGCATCAATAAGGCCGGTATATTGGGGTCGGTCCGGTAATACCCGCGCATCACTAAGGCCAAATTTTCAAAGGTCAGTACTAGACTGCTAATTAACACAATCAATGAGCTTCAAAGGTGAATACTGCTAATTATTATAACACAATTAACGAGCTGTATTATGTAGATAAATTAATTACACTCTGCAGCCTCACACAAACTAATTTATTTTCATCTCTCTGAAAATGTTTTAGAATATCATAATAAAAAAATGAAAAAGTTAAAGCTATCTTCTGGAACAGTTAATGACTTGTTTACCAAGAAAAAATCTTTTTTTGATGGTGCCCTAAATTATTTAAGTGTTGTTTCTTTGCTTAATTATTTATATATAAACTGACAGCTGACCTGTACCAGGAGTATTTTTCTACAAACAAACGCTAGTGGGTAAAATAGGCCCGGTCGGTCCGGTTCGATTTCAAATTGACCCTCGTCAACTGTGATTTATTGCTGTATAGTTTCAGCTCCAATAAATCTCTATGTATAAAGTAGTAATCTCTGTTTTTTGTTTGGATGCCCGATCATAACTCAGGAATCCATTGACTGAGCTGACTTAAATTCTGATTGATAAACTCGGGATTGTTTATTGCTTGAGACTTTAAGTTTGGGTCGACTTTTATATGGAAAAAAAACAGCTAAATTCGGAATTTATGCCAAGCACAGGTAAACGGCAGGAGTGACTATAAGTAACCTGGGCAACGCTAGGTTTCCAAGTTTGTACCTTATATTTTTTTTACCTTAAATATTTTTTAGGTTTTGCTTATCCAACAAGTTATAGGTAATATGAATTTCACCCCTGGCTCGGAAAATTGGGAAAAAGATCTTTTAAATCATGTTTTGATGTTGATTTTTTGTTTAAAATGTGCAAAAGTTTCTCCTGCTATTTTTTGTAAAACAATTAATTCCCTCCTAAAAATGCCATTATCAAAATCTGAAATGTTTGGAGTATTTTTGACCAAATTCAAAATATAAATTTTAAAAAAAATTTCTTTGAATTTGAACCCTCATGAATATCTATTCTGTTGTTTTTCATGTCAATGTAAGTTTTATTCAATTCTGGTCTGTTAGGGAGGAAGCCACAGGCCAACATGAGCCTTCAAGATTTACTTTGCTATGCAGATAAATTTTATGCTAAAACGTTTTTACGCGAAAAAAAAGAAGTTAAGAAAACAAATCCTAAAAAACTAATTCGATTTGATTTGTTACAATCTTTGATTTAAGAAGAACCTTTTTTGTTGAATTTTTGAAAACATTTTTTAGATAATTTTTAAAACAATGATTCTGCATTTATCTGAAAATTTTTTTTTAAGGTTTCGCTTAAATCCAAAATTTTCGAATACCCACTTTAATTTGATTTCAAAATATCTTCCTCTTCGCGTAAAAAAAACTTTTGAAGTTTTAGTATGAAATTTATACTGAATAGCGGAGGCTCGGTTCTGCATAGCAAATCTGGGAGGCTCGGCCAGGGGTTCCCTTCCACGGACTTTACAATATCCCCGGGCTATATTTGACTTCCAAAGGTAAAAAAGTAAATGTTGCCTTGTCTGTGTTAAACGTGAAAAATAAACTTATAACTGTCACTTTCTGTCACTAACCTTTCTGCATGATTCTATCCTATCGATAGGACACATCAAAGATAGATTGCAAAGCTCCCTTGGGAACATAAACAATGACAAACAGCAAAAAAAAACGCGAAAAGTTTCTGTTAATCTGGTCAAGTAAAAAACCGGTATCGTTGTGCATGGCTTGTATTCCCACGAGGGGTTAAACTCCTCTTTCAGTGAACCAAGCTGAAGATGAAGTTTTGTTTTAATCTATGTACAATTCTTACTTCCCCTGTAGGATACTAGATGCGTAACTAAACACAGCGCTTCCCTAGCTGCAATTCTGGGACTGCATAGTAGGTCCGGTCTGCTAGAGAGAAAGCAGGCAACTGTTATTGTTTAATCTATATTTGATAAATTGGTGGTTGATTGTTAGTATTTTTCGACGATGAACTAACAACTTCTAGAAATAAAAATTATAGATTTATTTGTAATGCATGTTTTCTTCAGGAATCTTTACATTCTGTTTCACAAAAGTAAGAAAAAGGTCAGAAAACGTCACATTTTACAAGATGCATGATGAAAAATTTGCCACTTAAAAATGGATAAAAAGGGTATTTTCTTGAACAGCTTAGAAGTAAATTGAATTTTTTATTCCTAATATTTCTACATAAAACTCAGAGCCAAGAAATTTTGAGTGGGCGAACCAGTTAATCTTATTCTATCTTCGCATTAAGTTCAACCAATCTAACATTTATTTGGCAAACTTAATTTATGAAAAATTGCATTATTTGATCTCCTTATTCTTAAGGCTGCAGCATTCCACTTATTACACAAGTTATAAAATTAATGAGAAAAGTTGAAGCTTTTGCTTTGTATTGTTGCAATCAAAGATTTTGCTTATTGAAGATACCGCATCAGAAAAGGAGTTGAGTTTTTGCCACAAGCTCTGATTCTCTAATCTCTTTATCTTTGTAACCAAATGTCGTAGACCTAAGATATTTCAAACTATTTATACTTACAGATAAGATAATCAAGTTTGAAATATCAAAGGTTTGCAACATAAGATTGCAAAGATATTGGAATCAGAAGATTTTAGTTTGTGGCAAAAACCCAATTCCTTTGACGCATTTTGTGGGTGAGCCAACGAAAGTAACAAATGTCGTCTTCTCTGATAAACTAGTATATTTTACACTGTTGACGTTTAATAGTGTCGTCTTTTGTAATGGATTTAAGAGTTGTTTAAAAATAAAACAAGAAAACCACTTTAGTTTTTCTATCTTGAAATTTTTAATTTGTTCATAGTTCATAAAAGTGACTTGTGGACTTTACGCAACAAAGACAATGAACATAATTTACAGAATTCAACATTTTTTAAGATGTTATAATAAATATCTTCCTCATTGTTACTCATATAAATGTTTAAATGGTACCGTTATTGATTGGACCTTTAATGGGTTGGTAACCTAAAATTACGTCTATCAGTCCCTTAGAATATTTACATTTGGTTTGAAGTTTTGAAGTGTTTATATAAAGAAGAAAATTAATGTCTGATATCTTTTATGCAAGGAAAGTTTTTAAAATACATGACTATGACAAAAAGCATCAAATAGTGTCTTTCAAAGGTACCATACTTTCGCGCAGGAATTCTGAATGATAAATCGGATTTTTAACAGGCCACAGTTGTCTTTGAAAAGTAAAACTAATACCAATGAATAGCTAATAGACTTTTTAGTTTTGAAATATTTAAACTTTTTGATATTTCATTTCAATTTATTACTTTCAGAGAAGTGTGAATTTATAGGTCCCATATTTCACAGATAAATATGCAATTCTGAAACTAAACTTGAATACAAATTAGCACAAAAATAAGATTAAAAAATGAAAGAAGGAAAAAACAAAACGAATTTAAGAGTAAGAATGAGTAAGAATATCACTACAAGTAATGCAAAGAAATAACTTTTTAACTAAGATTAACACTTAAAAGAGTTTATCTATTATATATAGAGTAAAGCGCTTCGCTAAAATATAAATATATTTGCTTTAGTTGGCCAAACGGCTGGATCAAATTGGCTGACATTTTTTGAGTGAACCTGTGGCCGTACCCGCGCGGGGGAATAGGCAGGGAAAAAACAAATTTAGAAATTTTAAAAAGTTTTATAAAAAACAAAAAATAAGATAAAGAATAAGACTAAGAATAAGATTAAAACTAAGAATATGACTGAAATCTTTAAAAGAATAAGATTAAGAATAAGACTAAATGAGATAAAAAATATAATTAGGATTCAAACTAAGGCTAAGAATAAGTATTTTGATATAGATAAGACAAAGTATAAGACTAAGAATAAGAATAATATGTGAATGCAGTATTCTCTCCTTCTCCGACCTTATCTTCATCACCCTTACTGTGTTGGACTATAGTCTTATCAGAGGTAAACAATCTCTTATTAGAGGTAAACAATCTCTTATCAGAGGTAAACAATCTCTCATCAGAGGTAAACAATCTCTAATAGAGGTAAACAATCTCTTATCAGAGGTAAACAATCTCTTATTAGAGGTAAACAATCTCTTAATAGAGGTAAACAATCTCTTATCAGAGGTAAACAATACCCACTGTGCAATAATATATAGTTTTTCTAGGGAACCTACCCACTGTGCAATAATATATAGTTTTGTCTAGGGAACCTACCCACTGTGCAATATTATATAGTTTTGTCTTGGGAACCTACCCACTGTGCAAATATATATAGTTTTGTCTAGGGAACCTACCCACTGTGTAATAATATATAGTTTTGTCTAGGGAACCTACCCACTGTGCAAATATATATAGTTTTGTCTAGGGAACCTACCCACTGTGCATTATTATAAAGTTTGTCTAGGGAACCTACCCACTGTGCAACAATATATATAGTTTTGTCTAGGGAACTTACCCACTGTGCAACATTATGTTTTGTCTAGGGAACCTACCCACTGTGCAATAATATATAGTTTTGTCTAGGGAACCTACCCACTGTGCAATAATATATAGTTTTTTCTAGGGAACCTACCTACTGTGCAATAATATATAGTTTTGTCTAGGGAACCTACCCACTGTGCAACATTATGTTTTGTACTTCTCTCTACCTTACCCTAGTATTGGGCCTTGAAAGGTATTAATTCCTATATTTCTATTTTTATTAGATCATCAGTTGTTTAATGGAAAATATTAAATCCATTAAGTTTTTTATTAGAACCAAGATTTGTTTTTCAGAAAAAGAAAAAATATATTTTTTCTATGAAATATTTCCAAAATTCGCTTTATTTTATAATATTAAGATTTGTAGGTCATAAGCATTGGTGTTAAAGTCATTTTCATTGTTAGGATAATTTGTAAACGTTGTTTAAGTTTTTTTCATAATTTAGGGTCATCAGTTGGGATTCATGGAGTATACACAAGAGAAAATTTGAACTAGTCATTCCTGGTTCAATAATTTCTTGTTATTTATTAATTCCGAACTCATTCTTGTTCAGATACCTAGCAGTCTGCTACCCTACCTCCTACAGAGAGTTCACCCTAAGATACTCAAACACCACTAGGTAGAACGTCGTATATATCAATACAATAATGACGACTTTTAATTTTGATTCTTATTTTTACCAAGCTTGAAAACTGTGCAGAAACACATTTGAACAAAGAGAAATTGTCCAATAAACAGCTTCTCTTTGTTTACTTGTAAACGTGTAATATGAAAATACTTAATACTTCAACGGGATGAAAGCATTGTCAATAAAAAGTCCTTTTTATTAAATTAATATAATCTCGGACTACTATTCTTTAAATACTTTCTTATCCCTTTACTTTGCTTAATGAACGTTAACAGCTGAAGACCCACTCACAACATCAAACACTAAAGTTAACTGCACGTATAACATTGAAATTCTATTATTTCTATCTGACAGGAAAGGTTTTAAGAAAAACAAAAATGTTTTGAATTTCTAACATGAAATATCCTTAATCCTGATCGCTTAAGCTGAGTATATATCCAATGCACGCACTTTTGATTTACTTCTTAATCCTCTTTTTTGGATATCCCTTCTGTATAAAAGTTACGTTTGATAACAATTACAGATACAATGCTATATCGATTGAACTAATATCCGATTGAATTAAAGTCAGCTGTTCACAAGCCGGCTTATAGAGCATTTAAGCAAATATAAATAATCATGTTGATAAGAACCTATTAGAAAAAATATTTTATCACATTTTAGGACTATCATCATTTTAAACGAGTCTTAACAAACATTAATACAAAACTTTTATTTATTTAAAGATGTTTAGTTCAATTGATATGACACAATTAACGCCAGAAAAAAAACGGTTTTTCAAAAGTTAAAGATATATGTACATCTTAACATGATACGCTGATTAGTTGAATTTTATATTCTTTTTTGGAAATCGAATGCCTTTTAAAATAATCTTGGGTTTAGTAAAACCAGGACTTTAAGCATTAATCTTGATATCCATCATTCTAAAGTTTTCAGCACAGAGCTGAAAACTTTAGATATCGAGATCAATGCTTGGTTCTCTCTTTTTCTTAATCTCGAGACTAAACTAATATTGTGTTTGTATTCTGAAAAGTCTATAAAATTCAACCAATCAGAGTGGAGTATCAGAAGGCGGGAAATTAAAAATTTGAAAATACAGAGACGGGAGAAAAAAGCTTGACTCTAATTTTGAATTACAGGTTTTTGATTTGCCTGTACTTTTGGTGTAATATCAATTGGACTAATGTTCGATTAACCCAATGTAAGTTTGGACTATATGAAAGTAATGTTCATTTGGATTAACGTTTAAAATTTTAATTTTGTTCCAATGATCAAATGCACAAATGGACTAATAACCGGGTTGTGAACAGCTTACTTTGCAATTGAACTTAATCGTTCAATCTGAAATTATTAGTTCAATTAATATAGCATCGTATCTGTGATTGCTATCAAACGTAACTTTAATGCATTAGGGATATTCAAAAAGAGAGGGTTAAGAAGAAAATCAAAAGTGTGTACATTGGATGCTCAGATTAAGCGATTGGGATTAAAGATATCCCATTCTAAAGTTTTCAGCTCGGCTCAGATCTCATATTCTTGTTCGTAAAATCAAAAACTAACGAAGTTTCAAGGTTACAAAGTCGTACAATATGGATCTGTATCATGTGACCAGAACTTCTACCAAAGGCAGTGCAGTATCATTGTCACGTGGCGGAGACACGTGACATATGATACTGCACTTCCATTAGTGGAAGTTCTGGTCACGTGATACAGACGCATCAATTCTATTATCATTATATTGAATATAATGGATAATATATTATTACGAATATAAGTTCTGGTTTGACACAGTTTTATATAAATTTCTCGAGAACATTCGATATACCTCTTATAGGACTCGATAAACTCAAAGTGTTTAGGTTTCAGCATATACCCCCTTTCATTTTTCTTTAGTAGTCCTTTTAAATGTCGTCTTCCTATTCTACAGTTTTATGGATTTCACTGTATTTTCTATTAAAATCTTCGCTTTTTTCATAACAAAGTGCATACATAAACAATTAAACTTGTTCAAATCAATTATTTGTTGTGTTTATAAACTAGGGTTTCTTACAGCACTTTGTTGTATTCATTAACTAGGATTTCTTACAGCACTTTGTAGTGTTTATAAACTAGGGTTTCTTACAGCACTTTGTTGCATTTATAAACTAGGGTTTCTTACAGGTTGTGTTTATAAACTAGGGTTTCTTACAACACTTTGTTGTGTTTATAAACTAGGGTTTCTTACAGCACTTTGTTGTGTTCATAAACTAGGGTTTCTTACAGCACTTTGTAGTGTTTATAAACTAGGGTTTCTTACAGCACTTTATAGTGTTTATAAACTAGGGTTTCTTACAGCACTTTGTTGTGTTTATAAACTAGGGTTTCTTACAGCACTTTGTTGTGTTTATAAACTAGGGTTTCTTACAGCACTTT